AGACGTGTTTGAAGTTTCAAATTGAAATCATGCATACTTTATGTAAAAAAAAATGATAAAGAAGCCACACTTTTGGCGCGGAAGAAGGAATTTCCCATTTAATACAATTATTATTGTTATATGGTGAAAATCAAAATTTCCAAAAACATGCATCCTTAATTTGAACCTGTAGTTTACACATATAAACTTTCACGAATGAGAAACAATATTTAGTAACATAAGTTAACAAAAAGACAATTTTTCAAAAATAAATTACTCAAATAAATAAACAATTTCTTTTGGCATGAGTAAATTACCCATTCAAAAACGCATATTTTTGGAAAAATATTTTTGTTCTAGCCCCTCTAGTTGTCAAGATATTTAAAAAAACATTGTATTCAGCCCTAACTTTAGGGGTTGTTTTCACCCCTTCAATATGAACGATTGCCGATAAAAAAAAATACGTGTCATATATTTTTTTGAGAACTACTTACCACATAAATTTTATCAAAATCGGTGTGTAACAATTGGATATGTTCCCTTGTAAGTTCAACTTACTAAGTTGATACTATTAACCCTCAAGTTTAGGAAAATATTAAATGTTTCGTATTTATACTACCAAAAAGAAATTGTAATAAAGTAAACAAAATAATTACATTAACATTATTTAAAATCAAATGTTCTATTTAAAATGAATTCTAACATGATTAAAGAATATTATGTAAGTGGCAAAAGAAATATCAATATAGTTTTTGCACTATTATATTATACGTTATACGTATTACACATTAAAAGCAAAACTATTAATCGTGATTACGTGGGACGCATGACGAACCACGTGTTCTGGATAGGAAGTAGCCAACGTGTTAACAAGAGACAGTAAACGTAAAAATAAAACAAAGAGTACATAATACTTTTCTATACATATCAAAATTAGTCTATATTAAATGTATCAAAAATTATATAGGCTCTGCATAACGATTTAACATCAATGTACAATTTAGGGATTCTATTTTCTCTTGTATAAACTATTTATTTTTCGTTTGAATTAGTGGTATTATAACAATGCCATTTTTCGCTTCCGGTATACGCCACCATCTTCCAAGTCTGTGCTCTTGGCCAACTCCAGCAATCAACTCAGTTCCATCTGGAGTGAAAAATAGTGCATTTATGAAGCCAGTCAATTGAACTTCAAATAGTGAATTCAATGACCTAAAGGAGTCGCTGCAATGCCATAGTCTGATAATGCCATTTCGGGATCCTATAATTAGTATTATAAAAATTGTAACTGCTTTTGATATAAGTAAATTATATAGTATTTTTTGAGAAATTTAATACCTGATGCGACTAGATCTGTATTGAGAAACGTAGCTATACTCGAAATCCACATTGGTTGATTGTTAGCTTCGTCTCTTCCATGTGCATCTGGTATCGAGCACAAAGGCTTTTTCTTTAAACAACCCCAAACACATAATTGTCCATCATCTCCGCAGCTGAGAAAGTTTTCTTCGTTTATAAGCTTTACAGTGTCTATGCTGCCACCGTGTCCATTGAATATGAGTTGTGATTCTTCTAATATTTTCCAAATTCGAATAGATCCATCGAAACCACCGCTGGTGACAGCACGTTCTCGTGCTAGCGCATCAATAGATGTGATACCACTTTGATGTCCGAATCTAACAAAGTCATAAAACTTTTATAATGGTCCACTCTAAATCAAAATTGGAGAAGAAAAAATACTTACAAAGATTCAACGTATGCCATTTCGTCTAAATTCCATACTTTTACGCTTCTATCCTCAGAAGCAGAATACAGCATATGCGTGTCTTTACGAAAAACTAGTCCAGTCACGCTACCTCTATGGCCTTTTAAACTCTTTATATGATTTAAGGTATCTGCGCAAAGTACCCTAATATCTTTACTACCACTATCTCCTACTACCTGTATGCATAAAAATTTAAGTTCACATATATTTATAGATTTAAATATATTATAAATGAATACTCTTTTAGCCTCACCAAAAATTTACTGTCGGTACTAATTGCTAAGCACTGTATGCATTTCATTCCTTGCTGAGTTTTTCTTTTTCCTTTAATGGCTTTTAATTTGCTTCTTTCCTTTAGCGACCCTACCATATGGTACAAGATAAAATAAAATTTTAAATAAACAACAGATATATTGGTAAAGTAACTACAAATAACATACATTTTACTAAGCTGCCATCTTTTGAGCCAGAGTATAAGAACTTTCCATTGCTGGAAAGACATAAACAGCTAACAGAATCCTTGTGTTCTTTACATCTCAAGATAATTGGTTCACCATGGCCAATGTAGTTTGACGCAACAGATTTTCGTAATCGTCCTTTTTCTTCTAAATATTCTTCGCGTAACCTTTTTGATATTGCTCCTTCTTCGAATTCTGCTCTGTCTTTTTCTACATTTTATACAAGTAATTTTAAAATATAACCATATATGATTTCTAAGAAATATCATATCAAAAACTTACCTTCCTCCTCGATTTGCTGAAGATATTTTTTTGCAAGCCTTATACGTTTTTCTTGTGCAGTTTCAGTTTCTTCCTCGCTCTCGTATTCTTGAGATCTTCCCCTATAAATTATAATAACAATTAACATCTCATGATGAATACGTGATTTATCAAACATAAGTTTATCAATAGTTACTGATTTTCTTCTGCGAGTTCTTCATCTGTACTAGCAATACTTTCATTGTCATCAGCTACAGATTTCTTGTCACTTCTCTTTCTCCCTTTTGACGTGCCAATATGGCCATTCAACTAAAGAATCAACTCAAATATATTATCATGAATACTTTATTATAGATATATTAAATCATTTTTGCAATAACATCATATTATAAAAACTATACATATAAATATAAGTGTAAACTCTCTCATGATTCATAAAGAAATGTAATTATAAATAGTACCTTTCTCTTATTTCCTCCAGTACTCTGATTATTTCGTATAAAAAATGACATAGTATATTAAAGAAATTATTTTACACAAATAACCTATCCTAACTTAACCACGTGGTATGTATTGGCACCAGGGATGCCAGAAATCCCCTCCACTTTTCTGCGCATGTTTTTTACGATCTCGATCTTGATCTCGAGAAATCTCGAACCAGGTAAATGGTTACATCCTTATCGACTCAGCAGTGGGTTATCACCTGAACTTTGGCGGAAACTTCTTTATCGATTCAGAAGAAGATCTCTTTTACCGTCTTTTGTTCCGTTTGTCTTTTTGAATTGCTTTGATTTTGTTAATTAATAAATTGCTTTCTGGTTGTACAATACGTGTGATCATTGAAACTTAAAAATAAAACCACTTATATTTTGAACATAAATTTATTATAGTCTCAAGTGCTATAAGACAATATTTAGAGGCGTCATCTATTAGCATGAATGGAACTATTTCTCTATAAACTTAGGCGTTTTGCCAACGATGGCGCTTATTAAACGTTTAAAATTTAGTTTGATTTGTTCATCGCTAAATGACTACGTATCCTAGATATTTGCAAACGATATATTGAGTGAGCAATTTTTATTAAAATTTATTGTTTATAGAACTTGTGTATATGAAATGCCTATACATGCCATGCAATGCCATGTGGTTATGTTGAAGTAGATTAATCGTATAAATCAATTTCTCCAATAAAAGCTTGTCACGGGTCGTCATTACTCATAGTCATTCACAATTTCCTATTTGATTAAATAAAAAGATTATAATATGGCAGTAAAGAAGAGAGTGCTTATGATTTGTTTAGGTAAGTCCTAAAATATTCAACTAATTAATATAAGTAATACAAAATATTCCTTTGGTTTTGCAGGGAATATTTGTCGTTCACCTATAGCAGAGGCTGTGTTTATTGATCAAATGAATAAATTAGGTGTAAGTGATTCATGGGAAGTAGAAAGCGCTGCTCTCATAGGATACCATACAGGTAAAAACCCGGATCATAGGGCTATGTCTACACTGAGAGAAAAGGGCATCATAAATTATTCACATAAAGCAAGACCAGTAAGTGAATTGATAAATATGTTAGAAGTATATAAAACAAATGTGTTCATATATTTTTATTAACCAAATAATTGCATTATTAAAACTAAACTACTGAAGAGTTGAAAATCCTATTCACTATCAACCAGTTATTAGCAACTTGATTTAAGGAATTGAACTTCAACTATACGTGTAAAAACTCTTATATTCTCTTGAACCTTGTGACTACTGGTAACTAGTCAATAGTTTGTAATGACTTCTCTGATTAATCTATTTGTATATTCTGTTACAGATTACTAAAGAAGACTTTACTAAATTTGATTGGATATTTGGAATGGATAATAGTAACATTGAAGAACTAAATAACATGAAACCGAAAAATTGTACTGCTAAAATTGAACTTCTTGGAAGTTATGATCCACAAGGAGAAGTTATAATAAGAGATCCTTACTATGTATGTCTTATACTTTAAATTGATATCATTAAATTTAACATTACAATTCACTCATTCAAATAATTTAATGCCTAACTTATATTCTATGATATAAAATAAGAACCAAATTGATAGAAAAATTTTATTTATAGGATAGTGACAGTGCTGGATTTCATAAAGCATATGAACAATGTATACGAAGCGTGAAGGCATTCTTAGAAAAGCATAAAGGTATTGGATACAATCTTAATATAGTAGTGATTAAGATAATGTATTGTCCTAACATAAAATGTATATATGTATAATAATTTCATTATTTCCAGAGAGCAATTTATGATCAAAACGAATTAGAGAAGGAATTGTTTCAAAGATTATTAAAATATTGTATATTTCAACATTTGTGAAAAATAATAAACATTCATTATAATTCTAGAGTATTTATTTGTTACTGCTTGAAATTGACAGATGTTATATTTAAAAACAATGCCTGTTCAAAATTATATTTGTTACGCATATACATTATCATGCAACTTATATAAGAGATATTTTGTACAAAAAAAGATATACTATATACATGTATGTATTTCCCAAAGTTACGTACATAACCTTAAAGAATAATGCAAGCACAAGTTTGCTCCTGTCAAGCAGTAGGTGGAGAATAATTGTGTATTTTAAAAACATTCGAATCCCACCATGTCTCAAAAAAAGAAAGTATTAATGGTGTGTTTAGGTATGTTAAGAATATCAATTATTCTTTATAAATCATAAATATACATAGGTAAGTACATATAATACCTTTTATTATATGAATTAAAAATTTTAGGCAATAGTTGTCGTTCTCCGATAGCAGAAGCGGTACTATGCGATCAACTACAAAAAATGGATCTTCGTGACTTTTGGGAAGTAGATAGTGCTGCACTTTTACAATATCATGTGGGTAAAAGTCCAGAACCTAGAGCTATAAACACTCTTAAACAGAGGGGCATCATACAGTATACTCACACAGCAAGAGAAGTAGGTAAATTTATTTTTCATATAAATGAAAACAAACTAGTGTGTCAAGTGACTTACAGATTACAAAAGAAGATTTCTATAACTTTAATTGGATATTTGGAATGGATAGATCTATAGTTTATGATTTATGTCAAATGCAACCAGAAGATAGCCAAGCAAAAATTGAACTCCTTGGAAAATACAATCCAAATGGAGAACTAGATATACGAGATCCGTTATTTGTAAATATTATCTGGATTCATTCATTTGTATCAAATACATTTTTTATAAGCTTCCATGACATTTAATTAGTCTTATATATTTGTAGGATAGTGACAGTACTGGCTTTGAAAAGGCATTTGACCAAGCTAGCAGTAGTATAAAAGCATTTCTAGAACAACATACAGGTATTTTTGTTTACATTACAACATTCAATGTATGCATAATTTCGCATTTGAACATAATTTTGTTGTGTTTCATACGATGTACTTTTATATCGTTCTACCGAAGTACAAATTTTATTTATAGTTGCTGTTACTATGAAATCAAATTGACTAGAGGATAGCGTTAAATGTAAAATACGTAAGTATTACGAATACATTACTTTATTTAACTTTACATCCACTTATGTACACTTCAAGTATATTACGATCATCTCCAGAATATATGAATTTTTGAAGCTTTTCTTCTAAAGTATAATTTCTTAAATCATCCAAATGTCCTACGCTTATATTTGTATCTACAACAAGTGCATCAAATTCTTTACCTATTACAAAATTTCCTATTTCATGTTCCATTGCTAGAGCTGAAAAAGTGTTAGCATTAATCTTAAAGAATCTTGTCTCAATTTCATAAATGTTACCTTTTGCACCCCCTAAAGTAGCCATATAAAACACATCTTTGTAGTTCAGTGCTTCATAATTGTCTTTAATAAAAGACAGGTGGTTTGATACTTGTAAAGCCGATCTCATTGCGTCTAAAATACTACAATTTTGACCTCCTGCAACGTCTGCAAATAAGTCATAAGAATCAATGATTATTAGGCAATTGTGATAAAATTGATATAGAAAAATGTATATTTTTACCAGTGCCAAGACCAATTTTTATTCCTTTAGATTTAAGCTTTTGAACATCACAAAGACCACTTTTTAAACACGTATTTGACGAAGGACAATGAATAACCGCTGTATTACGTTTTTCCAATAGTAGAATTTCATCGTCTGTGAGATGAACTCCATGAGCCATTACTGTCTATAAACAAATGAAATGATTTATTCAAGTATTCTACTATTTATAGATATTAATTTAACATACTTTATTTGTAAGAAGTCCAACTGCATCATATATGGCTGCATATGAAGACCATTCAGGAAATTTACTTTTTACAGCTTTTATTTCATCTAAGTTTTCGGATATATGACTCTAGAATATTTTACACATATTAGAATAATTGTATATGCATAATACATACATATATTTAATATGTACACATTTACAGTACACAATTACTTTTTAATATTCATTTATTTATTGATGGTACCAGCCATGTACAAACCATTTTTTATAATACCTGTATATGAAGATCTTCCTTTTTTGCCAGTTTTCCTAATTCTTTCATTAGTGTCATATCACAACTTAAGGCAAATCTGGGTGTTATAATTGGTTTTATGAGAGGGTTCTATAATAATAATTATACCAAAGAAATATTTTATAGTAGAAATAGTAGATTATATACTTAAATAAAATGTAAAACTCACATTTAACTTAACAATGTCTTCTACGAATTTAGTTACATTTATTATAGATTCTTCAGTAGTTTCATAATACCCATTGTCAGATTTGGCATTCATACTTATTTTTCCAATAAGAGCTCTCTGGCCAATCTCTATAGCTTTATGTCCAAGTATTACAGATGCTTTTGCATAAAGAGATGCAAAATAACATGCCGTTGTTGTACCACTTATAACAGTCTGTTTCTATAATTTGAATGTATTCTAATCATATCTAATTTATGATGTAAATGTAATGCAAAATGCTTTAAATTTTATTAATATTTCTGCAATTAAACTTACTACGACAGCATCAAATACTCGTTCAGCAAATTTTTCTTCTACATATTTCTTTTCCAAAGGGAAGGTATAAGTTTCTAACCATTCCAAAAGCGTTTTGTCATACCCAATTCCTAAATTAGGAAGTTGAGCAGCATGAATATGACAGTCAACAAATCCTGGCACTAAAAATTGTCCATTATTGAGAACAGTCACATTTTCATCCTTTATGTCAATTGTTTTCGGATTTATTACTATACTGCTAATCTAAAAGTTAATAAATACTTGAATATACTATTTATTTTAATATTATATTACTTTATGTTTATTATTCTTTCTTTACATTTATTAATTAAACAATTAGACTGCCTACAGATTTCATTTATTATCGTTATTTTATTTGTAAGAATAAAATTTGGTAGAGAAATACCTTTCCATTTTTAACGGATATCATCCCACGATCAACGGTAATCAATTCTGCGTGTTCATTAGTATGAACAAATGAACCGACGAACACTTTTTCTTTCAGTATCGAAGACATTGTACAAAATTTTCTCGATATCCTAAATTTAATACAATAATGAAAAACATAAAAAAAAATGTAGTAAATAATTGTTAACATAGTTTTGTATTTAATAATACCTAGTACATATTTCTTGTTAATATTTTTCATTCCGTATATATCTACTGTTTATTCATCACATAATATGATTGGTGTAAAATATATTACATGCGTATACATTTTCCTCTTAAATATTAAAATATATACAAACTAAATAATTACGGTAATGTAACGCGGATTATATCGATTTAATACGGACGTCAACGTAACAACGTGTTGGGATACATTAACTAGTTTTTGAAATTGCTCTACCTACTGTATCAGTGTTTATTTTTCACTATCTGATTAAAAGTCATGAGTGCTAAAAAAGAAAAATCAGAAAGTTCGAAGAAGTCAGATAAAATGATCGACACACATCGAGAATTTTTAGATATGGATACCGATGAGGAAGATTTCGGTCGACAAGGTAATTAAAAGGCATTTTAGTTAAAGTGTAAAATACGTTTGTTAAATATTATTTAATTAAAAATATCTGAGTGTTTAATGTAGCGGCTTAGATCATTTTTAATCTACTTGGAGTAGTTCATTCAAATAGATAATATGTATTGACACACAATATATCAAAACATGTACTATATATTTTCTAGTGTAAACAAAATCATTGCTGGAATCTTAAAGCGCATTATGTATATTAGTTTTCTCTAAGATCAGCTCTGAATTACGATAAATTTGTAATACTACTTAGTGAAGTGGTGGGGACAATGAATACATTAATGCACGAATCTTATACATGTTGCCTGCCTTGGCGAACACCAGCTTATAAAACGTCATAATATTTACTTTCAGAAGTATGATACTAATGTATGGTACTATGTAACACCCACCTCACTATATTTCAGAATCACCCGAAGTCGAAGAAGAACTTCCTCCAGAACCCGAAAAACCCGTGTTTTCTGAAGGCGATTTGGTTACATTAGTTAGTAAGAATGTACTTTTCTCATGTTTGAATTACTAGTATCACATGATAACTACAGTAATGCTTCGTTAACCCTAGAATGGAAAGATTGAGTAAATTTTACTCCTTGTATTATCTTTCGCTACTTCTTTACACTTTATTAAAGACTTATATTTAAAATTTATTGTTATTTTTAACCATGCTGGTTCCTTACATCTTGATACTTTATGTATCAATGGAAAAATAGGTAAAAAATTGGGTATTTTGAAAAGAAGAAAAAATTACTTAATTTTTCCATTAAGGGTGCGCAGGACCCAGAGCCAAACTTCGAGTTGACTTCAGCGACAGTTGTGGAAAAAGTAGGAAACTCCGGGACAAGGACAGAGAGGGCAATACAACAATTGCAGGAGAGACGAGAACAGACCGATTAGGCTGGCACGATTTTTTTTCTAGGATATTGAAGCAAAGAAGCAATATTTTCTAATAATTCTGGTTTTAATATATTCGTTACACTTTGGCGGATGTGACTCCAAGGCCTGATTTTGCAATTTCGGCCTTAAAACTTTATAAACAATAAAATGAAGATAACAAACATACTTTTACTATTTATAAAGTTTTAAGGCCGAAATTGCAAAATTAGGCCTTGGAGTCGCACTCGCCAAAGTGTAACGAATATATTAAAATCAGAATTATTAGAAAATATTGCTTCTTTGCTTCAATATCCTGGAAAAAAAATCATGCTAGCCTAATCGGCCTGTTCTCGTCTCTCCTGCAATTGTTGTATTGCCCTCTCTGTCCTTGTCCCGGAGTTTCCTATTTTTTCCGCAACTGTCGCTAAAGTCAATTCGGAGTTTGGCTCTGGGTTCTGCACACCCTGAGACGATTCTGTAACTTTTATCGTGATGAAAATGCGACCCAACTCACAATTCTTGGTTCTGTAATTTTCACCGTAGTGAAAATGCGAGCTATATCACGGGAATTTGTTCAACAAGAAATTTCTCGTCGAATGGTGAAATTAGAAAGAAAGACATTAAGAAATAGAGTGCGAGGAGAAAAAATAGACAACCATCTCGCGACGTGTTTTAGGTTGTTTCATGTAAATTCCCGAAAGAATTCTTTATACACTTCTGCGAAAGTACATACAAAACTCAGTAATAAAAATGGCAATTTATACGGCTGCTATTTTATTACTTCGTGATGAAGAGAATGATGCCTTTGAACTACACAATCAGGTTATAAGAGTGACGCGCAGTTACGCAAAGAATACTCAGGAGTGAAAAACGATAGAACTACATCATAAATTGTAAAATAAATATTAGTATACATTATTGTGAGAAAAAATAAATGTATTTTCGTATAAAGAATACACTTGCATATGTACTTTATTTTTATTTTACATATTGCGGAGAGATAGATTACATCACACTTGTTAATTCTTTTACTTCCTAAAAAAATAATCTTATAATATGGTACGGTACAGCAGGGTACAGTTGGGTATAGTTCTTTATAAAATATTTTGCTCCACATTTCTAATCTAGTGATTTCGTATTTTCACTTCGACGTTACAGAAATTGCGCGAACAAACTCGCAGTGAGAATGGTGAGATGAAAATGCGAGAAATGAGTGAGCTCACTTGAATTACAGAATCAACCCGCTGGCAGATGAAGCAAGCATCTGGTGAATTTGGTCGCTTGATTAAGTCGTGGTTTCTTTTGAGACTAATTTAAAACCGCGGTTAATAAATTCACGCGTGAATCTCAAACGAAGGATCTTTAATTCTTTATCGATACTATATTTTCTATAAAGTATAAATATAGTACTAACCTAGACAATTCTATGTTTCCTTACGTACTATACATACATATAAAGTTTCGATGTTACTTACGAAGAAGACGAGCTCTTGAAGTGAATGTAATGAAATACGTTAATACACTTGGTCATAAATACCGATTTTATATTTAAAATTGAACTTAACGTAAACAATTGCATCAAAAGACCGGCGTTTGTCCACTGATCTATTCAGTGGGTTTATCAATTCAAGTTTATCAGTACAAAAGTCCTATGTGATAAGATTACATTATTTTAGTGGTATCTCTCGCCCCATTCTCAATATACACTTACAAAAGTAGTAATAGCTTTATTTTTTCACCGAGGCAATTACATGTTTTGTTTCGTTATATTTACAGGTACAACATGTAAAAGATTTAACAATATTCTCTTCTCTCGATAAGAATTGGAATGAAAAATGCGATAAAGTAGTACGAGAATATTTTGAGAATCCGTCACACTTCGTGCTATGTATTTTTCACGAAGAAAGTAAATTAACCGCCATTTTAAATATTCCGAATTATGCACCTAAAGGATTTGTGTATTTTCTAAGATCACCGTGGCAGATTTATACGCCAGATAATTTTCGCAGCACCGTATCATTCGGAAGTATTAGTAAAAATACTAAAAGTTCTATTTTAAAATTTATGGAAAATATCTATGCACCAGTTATACTTCGAAGCAACGACTGTGCATCACGTATCCATTTAAATATTTAAATGACTTCCTCTTATTACATTATTTCTTTTTAAAATTCCTTTATAAGTTAAATTCATTGCTTTTTCATCATCATTTCGGTTAAGATTTATTATATGTTTGTAGATTACTACGTTACAATAAATATTTTCCATTCATAACGGACAGTCATACAAAATGAAGTATTTTCAAATCTTCATGAATTTATTATACGTCTTACCGCGGAGGTTTATGATCCAATGGGCTTAACTACGTTGTACGTTCCAAAAGAGAATATTTTTAAGACATTTGTGGAACCGTCGAAAAAAATTGACTGTTTCTTACTCGGAGAAGATATAAAAGCGGTACTTCTGGAGAAAGACGAAAGGCAACGGAAATTAGTTGATAGATTGGAAAAAGTAGTTTGGTCTTGGATTAGACAAATATATAAAGAGAGGAAAATAACGTCGAGCAGAACAAAGATTGAAAGCATACAAGACGAAGTGAATTATTGGAACGCGAAATGTTAGTCATTCTTCCACATATATGGAAAATGTGTTTTGTCTTAATTGATTTCGAAGTCTCATAGTCCATACAGCACAGAAAATTTAAAATATTTGACAGAATATTTGTAAGCGTCGCTGCAACATATGCTAACATCTGTACTTCGATCATATATACTCGTAGACATTGTCTGTATACACGAATCTACGAATCGAAGTGAAGCAAAGATAACGAAAAGAAAGATGCCCTCATGTGATGTCACAAGATAATATTTCTAGATCATTCAAAACTGTTTTATTTTGTAACCAATAATTATAAATAACCAACTTTACTCTTGATATCTGTGTATTATTTTTACTATTTTTTAAACTAAAACAAGTTATAAGTTAAATAATATTTATAAATTTAAATGTAACATTTCAAAATGACAGTTTCCAAAATACGTTACGATAAGCATTATTTTAAATTATAACAGTTAAAATTAACAATTAAGAAAGCAAAATATACAGGGTGTCCCAAAAATGTTGTAACACCTCGAAAGGGATGGTTTGGGAACTGATTTGAAACAATTTTTTCCTTAGCGAAAATGTTGTTCGTTGAGCGGCCGCGGTAGCGTATGAGCGCGGCCGCTTAGCGCGTAACCTTCGCTCCACCGGCATACTCGCGCTCTGATTGGTCAGTGTTTTCCGTTAATATCTCTTTAACGAAGCCTCGGACAACATTTTCGCTAAGTAAAAAGTTGTTTCAAATCACTTCCCGAACCACCCCTTTCAAAATGTTACAACATTTTTGAGACACCCTGTATATACTACAGACTCAACGACAAAATTCCATCGTTACTTTGCCCTCATGTGACGTCACATATGTAGATGATTTTATTTTTGCTTCAGAGCATTTATCTGAAGTCTGGCTCTATGCAAGTTGCAGCAACGTTTCTGCAACATTTTATACAATGTTAAAACATTACAAAAATGGTCTGACTTTGTATGTATTAGTAGACAAAGGTAGATAGGGTACCCATTCTCAGTATAGGAAATATTATCCGCAGATTTAAACCTGGCTTATTTAAATGCTCAACTTCTTAACCCAGAAGTTCAATTGATAATCAAAATACTCGGAAATTTGTGTTCTCTCAGCGCAAATAAATTTCAGGAATTAACCAAGCATATTGAAAAGGGATTAAAAGAAACGTCGTCGAACTTAATGTACTTAAATATTTTACTCGATTTTTGCAAAAATCTAACCGTTCCGGAAGACGCTGAAAACTCAATCACTGAAGCGCTGCTTCTGATATTATTTATTTGGATTGAGTCTCCATTTTATAATACCACGTACGAGTAATAAGTTGTTAAAAACGATGAAAATAGGAATTTAAATACAGAAAGTATGTTTAATACTACATCATTTTAGGAACAATATCGAAATACTTTGTCAAGCATTTAGTTCGCAGATAATACATCAATGCAAAAATTATATTATGCTAGACGTTGCTCTAGGAAGTAATCCAGAAGACGGGATGGAAATATTGAAAAAATGTATATTCTGTTGTGATATTTACAAAATAATTTATGACAATGTATGTTTCTCATTAGATGCCATCTGTTTCTCTGTAATAAACAATTTATTACCATTAGTTCTATATTGCACGATAAAATTCGTTTTTAGTTAACGATGAACGTTGTTTCATACATTAATATTGATAAGAAATGGGACATAAACAAAGCGGAAGTTTTCAATAAAATTAATACTTTTAAACAAAGATGCTATGACGTGTTTGAAATCTGTGACGCGTTACTCATATTTGGAAGGTACTTGTATTTAGCAATTAAAAGAGGAATACGTATACATAGGACGGCATATTAACTTCTTAATTATTGTTATATATTATATATTTCATTTATTAGATATAATAAAATAGGATTATTCGGTGGTACAAGAGGAATTGAATATGAAGCATATTGGCGGGAAATTGAAAACATATTTTACGAAATTTTAAATGAAATTATTGCCGCTCGTGATATAATATTTGACATTACGAAATCAAATTGGCTGAAAAAATACAGACGATTTAAGTATACAATTTTACAGTTAGAGAACATGGTAATAAATTTAATTAACGACATATTTAAAAATGTTAAGAACATAGAAGAGGGTATTGAGGCGATTTATACTTTACAAAAATTTAACAAAAGGGATAATTTGCGAGAAATATTGCAGACTAAGTGGATACAGGTATTGTAAAACTGTATACGTGTATCTCATATATACAGAATAATTACATTACATTAAACGAATTTTCAGGTATGGACAATTTTTAACAACGAAATAAAATATTGTTATATTAACGCGGTTAATGTGTCAAAAATATGCGAGCGGTCAACACAAAAGACAAATGTCAACATGAATATGTCGTTCATTCTACAGTATATAAAAACTCAGCATAATAAGATGATAAATGCAATGGACTGGATAGGAAATTGTGCTGCTGAACAGTAAGTAACAAATCGAGACAAATTACTTAAACACATATATTGAAATATTAAATTTTCTTTTTTAAGTATTTTATGCATTTATGCTAAACATCTGTTTTATATCATTTTTCTACATTCGTATCGCTAGATAGGACGTATCATGCATGTTTTCAGGTGTATTTTGCAACAATATAAACATGTGTTAGATGTAATTGACGAGAGAAGAAAGATGATTAACACTTACAGTACATACGGAACACAATAACGAGGGATGATAAGTTGTGAAAGTCACAATTGAACAAACAAACAATTTTATATGATAGAAGGAATAACAATTTTTCGTAATGAACCTCAGTCACTGTATTATTAAAAAAATTACATTGTTATAACTTTGGACGGGGCGCTATGGTCGTAACATTCATTCTATTATATATGTCGTACTTAATTTTTAATATAAAAAAAATACTAATAGATAACCAAGAATTAATTAATTAATTTGTCCGACGTAACATATAATGTTATTCGCTGTTTTCTTTGTATATGGTTTAATAAGAAAATTTATATTACTTATACTTATTCTGAACTTGTGACAGCCTTATAATACAATTACACATCATTAATATATCCTTCAATATCAATATTCATATCATTCTACTTTTCTTTGTTTAAAATCTTAAGGATGTAGCATACATAAATTTTTTAAACATTTATATTGTATGAATTCCTTTTTATCAATCACCCTGCCTTTTTTTTAATAGTGCAAAAATAAAATTTATAATATGATCGGCATAGGATGAGAGAGAAATCTTAGATGGCACTTTAATCATTGTGAGGTATTTGAATAGTAACTAAAGTAGATATACTTTAGTAATTTATCATATAAAAATTATTTTTTATAAATTATGTAAAACTTTTAAATGCTAACAATAATAAGTTATAAATTATACTTTTATCAGATCATGTTCGTAAACTGAAAATTATCTTATGGACAAGATATCGTGATAAATATTACATTAAATAAAAACATGGAATTATAATGTTAACAAATTTACACAAAAATGTAATTTCTTAATCAATCTGTAAAGAATACGAGTGTATCTTCTGTATTAAAACTAACTAACTTTGGGAATTTTTAACATGAAATTAATATTTCTATAAAGTTCACAACAACTATAAATTACTTATTTATTTACTATATATTAATTATAGATTTCGAATCATAGAAATAATAAAATATCAGAAAAATTAATATTTATTAATAATATAAACTGGAATAATTTTGACTGCATTTTCTGTACTGGAATTTGCGAGCCAAAAATTACTAACGTTGTAAATATTGAGTTCATTAGATTTGTGAAATTTCCTCTAATCCCGAATAATTTATCTGTATTTAGGCACAGCATTCATACTTTCATTTTCTAACATGTTATTAGTACCTTTTACATACTGTGGTCCCTTAAGCAACTTTGAATACGACTAAACACATAAAGTAGATATAACAATATTGCACACATAACTGAGTTCTCTATCTCGTTAGATATATATTCCATTATATACTTATGTTTCCCAAAGTTATAGTAATTATACAGAACATCCCCATGACTTATATATTATATAACTGTGTAAACAAAAAATAATAAAAAATGAAATGGAATTAATGAGTAGTTTTGGATGTAGTCCATTAATGACAATATAGGGTAATCTATGCAGTTAACACTTTTTTGTATTACTAGATACACAGAATATATAAATAAAGTACTATATCCATATATAAGTAGAAACTGTTCATAAAAATGCTTCTGAAAAAAAGAAATTTTCTTAACCGAATTAAGGTAATAGTATATTTTGATACAAAATTAAGAGCTATAAGGAGTATGGAAAGATATGTAAATGCGTCCATTTATGTATATTATAAATATTTTCACATGTATTCCCTCGTATGAGGATTCTTTTTAAAAAAATGGTACTATTGTTACAAAGATAGTTATTAAATGTGCAAAGAATCCTACACACTTCAGCGTTAATAATAAACTTAGTAAACCATCACCAGTTAGTAGGTAGTATTGGGTGATGTGACCCTTCAGGAAAAGTAGGTATCATCCACTTTTTATGACTTATTCAATTGAACAAGATACAGTTTTCAACGTTAAAGAAACATATAAAAATAGATCTATTGATATTGTTGACTATAATCTTAACAAAATCTAGTAAAAATAGTAGCACCGCTTGTAAGTTCATTCAGTTTTTATAACTATAAATATTTTTACACGTGTTACATTAAGTTGTATCAAATTGAAAGTCTCAACATAGATTACCCTATAACCAGTTATAATTATCCACTTAGGAACTATTATAAAAATTATACATAAATATTTTATGTACATATACCTGGCACGTGTACATATACACACTTCTAATTTTGATTATCATAATACTGTAATCCATAATTTGCTTAGAGAATTAGAACACTCTTTTGGCACAAGTAACTTAAACAAAAGTACGTATTTGGTTTCTTTGTTCTACTTATTTTTAACACTTTACCAACCTGCAGTCGATTAATCGACTTTTTGTCCCCAACGATCGGCAACTGCTATGGTAACTAGCAAGTATTTGTTACTTTGAATTGATATACAAGTTGCTTTGCTCTGTAAGCTCTCGTATTTTTATACAATTCCCGGTGTCAGAGAAGATCTGCTGCCGAGCGGCCGGTGAGAAGGGCATAAGATGTTGAACAGCTACCGGTCGGTAAAGTGTTAACATGAGTTTTAATTTGATGCAATTACCAAATTTTCCTGACCAGTAGTAACTGTAAAAATCGGACTACCAGGTGGATCCTTATAATCAAGTAACTCACTATCATCGCTAAATGAGTTAGTACCAGAAGAACCAACTTGTTCCAATCGCGATGGTGGTAACAGAAATATTAATGAAATAGCTATTATCATATGCCATGCACTATGAACATACTGTAAAAAAATTCGTTTTAGATATTTTTCATTTCTCATAGTAGTATTTTACACTGCGCATTATACGTACTTGATAATTAGCTTCCGTTTCACCTAGAGAAAAGAGTAACAAGCCTATTGTTGCTAATAATAATCCTGTTAATACTTTGGAAATTTTATTAGGTTTTTTCCATTTTTTCAATTGAAAACACCGATAAGCATATGCTCCCATCTAAAAATATACAAGTAAGAAATAAATGTTATACAAACAGTTTTCGTAGATTACTTACTGGAATCATAACACCTATTCCTAAAGGTACTAATATACTAATTAAACTTGTTTTATTAGATTCCACTCCAAAAGCTATTATAAGAACTCCAAACATATGATACAGTGACACGAAACGTGTCGGTATTTCAGCCATTGCCACAAGTGTCACCCAAAATGCTAATATGCTTGAAAAAAAATCACTATATTGCAAAACCTGGAAATAAAATCGTTTCATACAAATATTTAGTACGTAAATTTAATAACAAAATACATAGTGTTTCTTATAAGTATTAGACAATTTACGTACTTCATATTTAGCAACACAATAGGTCATAACATGCTGATCACAAGCATGGTATAGAGATGAAAAAAGCATTGTTGCCAGATAGACCAATCCCTCAGTATATAAACCACGCTTAACAGCTAAATATATAGCAGGTATAAAAAAACCATTACTTAAAGTAAGTATCATCGTTGTCATAACCAGAGATGATTCTGGATTTGCACTAGTAGCATCAGTGCACCCCCATCCTTTGTATCCTATGTCATAAAATGAATAATTAAGAAGGTAAGTAAACAAAAAATACGAAATTAAAGTCATATAAATAACAGTCAAACCTGCAAAGCATTTACACGTAGTATAATAAAGGATATCTCGATGAATTTCTTGACAAATTCCGTGATGGCCACATGGATAATTTCCAGAAAACACGCACTGTCTAGTTCGTATATCCAATGATACTAAGATCTCTTCCATTTCACAATTTACAGGATGTCTAATTTACAGATTTTGTAATTATAATATAGTGCACTTATAATTTTAATTTCATTTCATTTTGTATTTTTAAAAATATAGTATTACCCATTAAAATGGCATGTTGCGTGTAAAGCAACATACCATGTATCTGGTTGTGGATATGGTATCAACAAACTTGCATCATGTTTACTAAACGAAGATAAATTCATTAACATTTTTGAATCCTCACATACGATACTAGCTTTTAGTCTATTCGGAACTCGACCACGTTGAATGCAAAGTACAACTTTAACTAATTGTTTTGTTATTACCTAAAATATACGTAAAAATGAATCACAATTGGATTTAATTATAATAATAATGAATTACTATTGATGCCTACTTTGTCCATTTCTAAGTGTGCACTAATATCAAGTGTACCACCAATATCTATTAATGGCAAAATATTAAATTGTGTTATTACCGGATGTAGATCTGTTAACATTACCCAAGAAGTTAGCCATTCTCTACCCTGGAAAAAAATTTAAATGTGAACCACTTTCAATACTTCAATCTACTTCCACATCCTTTCCTATTCAGTGGTAGTTACTATAAATTTCTATACATTATGTATTCAATATTTCATACCTGTAGTAAGTAAACACCAGAGAATGTTTGCGAGTGCTTAATTCTAGCAAGTTGGTATCTTGGAACACACGTATCATCAAAATTTTCATCTGATAAATGAATTTGATTTCTCAAATCAACACCATTGTAAGATGATACATTTTTTTTGTCCTCATAATGATGTAAATGATGTTTTGTTAAATCTTCCATATGTAACTGTGCTAATGCTTTAGAAAACGAAGGCGCATCCAAATACTGTCTTACAAATGATTTTTCTGTCACCCTGATTGGACATTCTGAAAACATAAGACAAAATAAAACAGATTCAAAAAATTGATATTAATATAAAAAAAAATACTGTGGATAATAGAATTTACCTGCAATGATTACTTTTACATTTAATTCAATGATACTATCTGAAATAATCATCAAATAATAATAACTATCTTCATAAGGAGAAGATTCTATAAAGGTATACGAATCTAACATGGTAAAATTTCCAATTCCTCTGGGTTCAGAGTGATTAAAAACAGGTAAAGAGCGTCCTTGTAAATTTATACTTTTAATACAAGGTTCGTGTATACTACGAGATGTATACACGGTAAAATTACAACCCCAAATATGTACACGAAAGTTCCATATTCCTGATGCTATGTATATTCTGAAAAGGATCCAATAGATTATTAATTTTTAGTATCAAGATACTAAATTAAATACAAATGATAACACTCTTTACTTGTAATAAGAGGTGGTTTCTTTTGTCCTCAAAGTATGTGGACAACCGATAGGTATGTTCTCGATACTATTCATCTGTGTCCATATAGCTACAGAACCTATACTATAATGGCATTTATGTCCAAGCCCCTGAAATATAGAGGCACAAGCAATGTAAATTATAATTGATTTGAAAAGAGAAACGAATTTATAAATAAAGATATTATTATACCTGTTGTTGAACCTTTTCATCCCAGTGAGATAAATATGCTCCTACAAACCAATCTCCAGATTCTGGTCCATAAATTGGTACAATTGCAGTCGTTTTTGGTTCGAATGTTGTAAGCGCAGAGACTACAATCGTGCGATTACGTTTGGGATACATATTGGTAGGAAATGTATCATTATTTATAGACATCACAGGGTAACTGCCCCACTGAAGATATCTGAAAATCCTAATGTTGCACTACAATGCTTTGCACATGGAAAGAGTAAAAATATAAAACAAAAGTTTATGTACATGTGCACTTTTCTTTCTGGACAATCTTGCCGATCCATAAATGCAGCGAACTGCCAAGTTGCCCTGAGCACTTCACTTGGAACTGTATAATGAAACATAGCTATATCCGAATAACTTTTGAACGAATGTAACAATCCTTCTTGACTTGCTTCTGGCATGGTACATTCCTTGGCTGTAAAGATAGGTAATTTAGACAAAAATCAAGTTTAATGTATAGATAGCTTCCCTTAATTCTTTATAAAATGTCGACACGGATACGTTATCGTTGTAATATTTCTATCGCTCGATTGAATTAATGTTACTTTAAGCTGTTTCATAATAATGTACACAATATAATGAAATGAAAATCTCATGCAAACAAAGATAGATTCTCAAATACTTTAGAGAAAGCATTTACCTGGAAAAAGGAGCAAAATTAGAAGAACGTGGAACTGGAGAATGACAAGATATCGCCTTGGAAAATAACATATTGGAAGCATGACAATTTTTTTCGACATCACAAAAAAATTAAAAGTATTACTGATCGGATATGCTCCATTCACTCGTCATTAATTATTCAACATCCTTACGTTACTATGCTGATTGTACATCCTGTATAGACGATAAATAATTATGTAGCCCGCAGTGTTTGCGTGTTTAGTCTACCCGTTTATATGGGTTCCTTTCGATCAGCTGTGCTGTAGTGGACGATATATGAATAGCAGAGGGTGGAGTGGGAATATGGGAGCTCGCGGAGGGTGATTTTACCGACAGCTCTGAGCGAAATTACAGTATTTTAAACATTTTTGGAAACAGGATAATCATTGTAACGCAGATCAGGATACTCATAGAATTTTCATTATAAATCCATTCAAAATCTTAATGACAGCTTAATTATCACTCTTCGTACATATGTAGATAAAAAACTGAAATAATGATATTCGAATAGAAATTCTGAAATTGACATTGTATGAAACGTTCTGTTTAATTCTGAAATGTACGGAAAGTAATAACTGGGAATTTAAAAAAAATCGTATATATATACATATATAGTAACAACTCCTATACGGGTTGTTTCGTCAATGATAGCACAACCGAGTAGTAAATGATTCCTCATGAAAAAATAAATCGTAAATGGAGAATACAATTTTGTCGTTTGAGACATCGTTTTCTAGAAAAGCCTACTTGAGACGTTCCAGGGACGTCCTGCGATATAACTGGGACGTTCCAGGGACGTTCACAGGACGTTCAGGGGACGTTTGGACGTTATCTGGACGTCCCGAACGTCCAGTACCGAACATCTTATGGACGTACATAAGACGTCCCTGTGCTATCTGGGTATGTACAATGATTAATCTTAAGAGTACCACCGCGGTTCTCTTGACATTTTTCTTACGAGGTTTTATTAAAATACTAAACTACTAAGTTGGCCAATTTGATCCTTGCATTTCAAACTTCTTTAGGCCAATAAAAAAAGCTTTATTAGATTTTAATTCACTCTAAAATAAAAAAAGGAGGCATACATTAAGGGGATATTCTAGTCTAAAACTTTCAAAATATCGATTTTTTTTTTGGATTTTCATAAAGTGTAGACCTTTAAAAATATATCTGCCAAAGGACTTTGTTGAATTCGGAAAATTAACGAAGTTAAAGATGTCTAAAAAGAACGATGTCTACAATGTCATTATTATCTGCAGTTAATTTGGATACTGCATTTAAAATTTCTTTGCAGTTTTTACTACTTTATTGGTAATGTGTAAAATGTGCAAAAATACCCAGATAACACAGGGACGTCTTATGTACGTCCATAAGATGTTCGGTACTGGACGTTCGGGACGTCCAGATAACGTCCAAACGTCCCCTAAACGTCCTGTGAACGTCCCTGGAACGTCCCAGTTACATCGCAGGACGTCCCTGCGGACGTCCGATGTGGACATTCCCAGAACGTTCTCTGTAAAATTGAGATTTAAAGAAAAATTAAACTTTAATTTTATATATTTTCTTTTATTTGTTGGTAGATTGTAGTTAACTGTATTTATTTCTTGTAACTGGATTCCATGAAAAACAAATCTTTCAATTTTTATTTACCTCCGGCGGGATTCGAACTCACGATTTTCGAACTACAACTGTAACCTGCTTCCTCACTTACCCATAAACGACTTTGCTAAACCGACTCATATTTTAGGCTCATATAGTGACTCGCATTAATATTCGGATACTTTTTAAAATACAATTCCTTCTTTTGAAATTGGTCTAAATGACTTGAACTTTTTTTTTGAAAAGTTGGAAGAATTAATTTACTAGATCATTCTGAATAGTTCCAAATATTACATACATGTCACATCTCATATGTACAAAAAATATTGTATTCCTAATATTGAAAAAACATTTTGTTTTACATGTGCAAACATATATTCTGTTGCGAATATTAGATAAATATGTGTTTTATCTACGGAAAAAAATATTCTGTTGCGAATATTAAATAATGATTGTATATCCAGATAGCACAGGAACAGGAACGTCTTATGTACGTCCATGGAACGTCCGGCGCTGGACATTCCCAGAACGTTTTCTGTACGTTGTCTGTACGTCCATGGGACGTCCGGTGCTATCTGGGATAATATTCATTTTCAACAAGCAAGTAAATGAGGATTGGCACATAAAACTTTAATCGTGATTTCCTCGTAACCATATTTTTTAAATGGTAGACATGATATATCGAGCTCTGGTTAACCGAATGATCTCAAATTTGAATTTAAATATATTTTTTTTAATATAGTAAGGACAAAAAAAATTTTAAGTGCTGCCATTTTTTGAATATTATTTTGCGTTTTCGATTTATTGTTTCACCCACTGCTCAGTTGGTCTACCATCGTTGGAATGTTTTGTATTTCGTACTTACATTTATTGAATTTTTACTTATTTATTTAAGAATAACAAGAAAAAGAATTGAAGAAACAAGTAACATCACATCAAATTTTTACATGACCTAGTTATAAAACTTATTTACCTATCAATATTTAATATTATTCTATATTATAATTATATTTAATACTAGTCGCGTGCAAAGAGTTAACCCTTTGATCAAGGCGGATACCATTCGTTTAGGCGCGAATGTATACAACATGTCTAAGAAAGTTACCCCTTGAACGTATAGGGCCCGTCTTAACATAGAGGCAAACTCTCTGGAGACGCATTTATGGTTGGCCAACGGTTTCTAATAGTTGGGAATCAGTTGCGATATAGTTAGTGCTTTTGCCTACAAATGCCCAAATAAGGGTCTACGTTAAAAGGATTATGACAATTTTCCTACGAATACCCAATGTTGGGCTAACAATTACTATAGTTGGTTAATTAATAAGAAACTTGAAACAATAATACTGACGCTTAAACGTTGTCCTTGGACGTTGTGGAAATCTTGTTACAAACAAGAACCTGTTGTTATATTCTAAAATGAGTTCTTTCTATTCTTATTTATGAATAATACTCGCGGTTTTCTATCGTTGGGCCATAGTTGGCCCACCGAAAAGTATGTATCTTTATTCTTCTAGTATACATAAGATGTTCTATCGAAACCTCTTCTACACGGAGAAGTCCCGTTTTTCAAAATAAGGAAAGAAAATATAATAACGACTGATTGAGCCGAGGTATGTTAACTGTTTATTGGCTCGATGGGGAAAAAGCCGCGCGGCATAAAAAACCCCAGAATGATAGAAATATTTCACAAGAAATGTTAAAATATGGAGGATGTGAACGATTTATAGTTTTTACGTCTTAACGCTTCGAGTGATCTCGAAAAAGTGTCGTTAGAATTGAAATTCGTCCGGAAGGCAACAATTTCTCCACTCTTGTCGATAGAAGCTTCTAGAATCTTCTAGAAGCTCGATTCTAATGTTTAATTTCAATATGGCCATTCCCATATATGGTAATTTGCAAAGAGATCGTTGCCCCTGTTTTCGTGTTGCTAGGCGCCACTCCTCGATCGCGAGTCGGTTTAGAGTCGCCTGTGAATTCATCGCCCGCTCGATCCGCTCAGCTGTCTTGAGCCGTCGAGAATCCGTCGCCAGCAAACAACGACGGCTCAGCTGCTTCGAAAAATCGATATATTGATTGCGCGCAGGTTTGAATGTATATGATACATATGTGAGCACGGCCTGCCGTGGAGTTCTGGACTCTTGATTCCGACCACCGAAGTGTGAATCTTTTGGCTCCATTAATGGAGCAACCTTGGGCGACGAAACTGATCTCAGCTCGCCCAGGTTTATGATGTGCAGGCCGTTTATAATATTTGATAGGCGTGTTAGCTACGAGGAGTGTAATGTCTCCTCGAAACATTCTGGTATGTTTGGGGATCGAGCGAACGATGATGAATTCGTATCTTACTCAGTCGCGACGAATAATGACGTTCGCGGCTGAACATAAGAAATGTTTACTTTTACCTAATCATTGCGAAAAGGATACTTTTATTTGTATACCTTTTGCTCATAAGGACATTATTTATCATTAAGATTCTGTTGGGTGAATGTTACACATCCAAAAGTTGAATAAGAGACTAACCTTACAAAATTTCAAATAAAATATTTTTCAAATTATACAAGTTGGATTTTATTTCAATTTTATTATTCAATTAAGGTATAAGTCTCAGATGTAAAGGAAATAATCTCCAAAAAACATTCTGAAAGCTGTTTTATTGAAGTGTAGTGGAGCCAATAGAATCTAGTCAAGAGTTAGCCCTACGGAAAGAAATTTTCAGTTGGCCCTTTATATTGAAAGTAACGTGGGGCCTGCATTGGGTGTGATTGTTGACTCAGTTGAAGAAAAGGGCGACAATCCTAACCGTTGGCCAACCGATATCACGTCAATGGCCCATCAAAATGCCAACAATAATTGCTACTAGGGTTATTTATTTACATCAACACTGCCAGACAAAACAGCTGAGTGTAAGTGGTGAAATAAACTTTTGGGATAACCTAATATATCGCAAATAATAAATATTCGAATGTTGTTAAAGTTTAAGATGTGTTTTAAAAGAAAGTCTAATGCTACGTACTGATAGTAGCATTAGACTTTTTTAGTTTAGAAGTTTAATAATAATTTCGAAGAAATGATCAATTGGATAATCAACTATTGGCGTGGTAACCCTAAAGTTTTAGAGTCCTCGTAAACGTTATATAGAAAATATCTTTCTGTACACTACATTTCTGCGCGATATAAAATTAAACTTCGATTTCTTCCTCGGCTGCAGGCAGAACCACCGTCGCCACGGTGATGGGCTTCGTCCTCGACTTCTTGCATAGCAAGATCTGCACCCGGCCCGATATTCTACTCGTTAGAGTAGCGTGCACCGCCATGGGAATAGGGATACCGCTTGGCAATAAGGGCACATCCATCACGCGAGGTCTCACATCCGTGTTCTCGTTCCTGCAAACGATGTACAAACCCATGTCGGATAGTTCGTCGGATATGTTCGTCAGCAAGATACGAATCTGATAATTGGGGCCTAATCCTAACACGGTGGCCTCCAAAGTGATGGGATGCGGCCCCGTATTTTGGCTTTCGTTCAAAGATTCGACCGCCTTTTTGGCTACCATCAGACGTAACCGAAGAAGACCTTGTTGAAACGTGCTGTGGATTTTCTTCGCCTCGGACCTTTCTCGTATCGTTTGTTCGACGAACAGTCGCGTCTTCTTAGGTATAAGAAATTTAGAACTGTTGTTCGACGAAGGATTCGACGTCACGTTATGGGTACTGAAGTCGGCTGTGCGCTTTAAAATTTTCACGCAGAGACCACCGCCGACAGTGACCATCGCCATGGTTCGTTCTTCTTGTCCCATTCGACCATACTGTCACAAAATAGATAAAGGTTTATATGATAGCACGAGAGAAAATGTCTTTATAACGCAAGAGATTACAGCTAAAAGGGATTTTAAGTATACGGCCTCGATAAATCGAATAACAAAAGAAGGCTTGTTATTATAGTCATCGCGGCCCTGATATGATTAACTGAGGAAAGGAATAAACCAATTGGGTAATCCTCGGACTTTAAGTAGAATACGCTTTTAACTTTGGTTCACTTTAACACTCTGCACGGTATTATATTAATTGTCACAGCGAAGAATAAATCAAAAAAGTTAAAAAGATTTTATTTAACACCCCACGATTTGAATTCGCACTATTCCCCTACTTGCTGTTTAATTTAAAGATCGCGTATCTCGTGTTTTCTATTGCCAATCTTCTGATCACTTTTTTTTACAATTTATTCTTATTACACTACTCGAGTTTTATGTTGTTGTATATTTGTACTTCATCTTTTCAATCAATTATAACATCTAAATTATAAATATAATTTAGATGAAAATGTGATGAAAAACTGCATTCTTGAATGTATAGATAACAAATGTTGTTATGGGCGCAAAATATTATTACTCAAATAATATTACTCAAATTCGAATGAAGTCTACTGTACAGAGTTCATCGGAGGCCGTGACACTTGTGGTTTCCACATATTTACTCGGTTACGCACGGTATTAATTAACATGAAAAGCAACCTTCATTGCTGACACTGGTTCCATAATTTTCAGCGTGTCCACATGGTGCTTTCCATCGTATACTCGAATACCGTATCCAGCAGTACTCACAGCAAGCAAAGAAAGACCAATTTGTGGCACCGGCAAGCTAACTAAATCCAGAATCGCCCCTGGGACTTGAACGTGCCATAGTTTGATGCCCTGCATAATTAACATTTCGCTATTTTAAAACTGCTTGTAACCGTTTATAAATACAGTAGAATCTCAATAGTTGCAGAACAATGATAATCAATCCTATAACAAATAATTTCACTTAATATCTCCACAATCTACAGAAATATACATATACAGTGACTCAAGAAATTGATCGTATGGTAACATACATATTTAGTTTCAACTTGGAATACGACTTTCTTGCAATTAGATCAATTGACCGTATACTAGAGTCATTCATTTGTTTATATTTCTCCTTGATGCTGACTTATGTATGTAGATACGAATGTAGTTAATTCGATCGTGAACTTCAGGTCTAGCTAGTAGTTATCGTACCATTGTGTAACCATTTGATCTCAATTTAGTGAATTTAAAGCTTTACATTACAAACAATAGTCTATAATAAATTCTGTTAACTTGAAAAGCGAAATCAATTCATTTTAGTTTCATCTACAGTGGGTGTAGATTGTATTCGTACGCTGGTCAATTTCCTAAAAAACGTTTGTAATAAAATAATTTTTGGAAAAAACATATAACCGACTTCGAAAAAATATTAAAATTGGACTAAAAAGTATGAAATAATTTCTATTTCATTTATATTAAATGATATTCAATAATATATTACATTTCTATTTCCTTTATATTAAATTATGTTAAATAATCTTTTAAATAATGTTAAATAATGTTGAATGCTTTTAATGTATACATGTATACTGTTACGTGAAAGTCCAGGTCGATGCCCTGGGCTTGTTGATAGCAATAGACTTCCCCAGAAAAAGAGGATCCAAAAGCAAAACTCTCTACAATTGCTCAAGACTAGAGTTTTACGTGGTTTCCGAGTACTTAACTCGATGACATGTAATAATGGAGAGGACTTATCTTTCCATTCTCTTTCCTGGTCGGCTGTGTGAGGGTTCGTTAGAATAAGAAACCCTACCAGTGGTCACTGGTACTAATAAATTGTTACGAGCCAGGGCGATAGCGACGCGCGTGTGAGCCTAGCGAGTGGGATAGATTTGAGAATTGAACCAATACGATTAATTATTGTGTATCAATGGTGCCGAAGGCTGAGGATAGATTATACAATGCAGACGACTCTGACGTGAAGTCAGATAGTTGCAGGAATCGGTATCTCCCAGTAAAGGGTAACTGTAGAGTAAGGTTCCAATTGTGAGATTGTTGGAAAAAGTGCAGCGACTCTGGCGCGAAGTCAGATAGCTAGCAGGAACCGGTATCTCCCAGTAAAGGGTAACCGTAGGATAGGTTGAATTAGGGAATTCGGGTTGAATACACTGAGCTTAAATCGTATCGTTGATGAATACTACGCGTCGCGGATAAAGCCTCGCAACTTATTAATTTAATTGAATAATAACTCGAGTGGCAAAGTTATTATGTTGTGGGATCGTTACACAGGCTAGGATTGCTTGTTACATCGTGAAGGTTTAGTAATTGACTTAGGAAACTTTGAATTTACACAAAAGAATATATATATTCAGAATAACTATACTAAGTTACAAATGTGCAGTGTTTTGTTGTCGCGGTCGTGTGTAGTAAACGTTGAATTTAATTACCTAATTGTTGCACGGTGTTAACGCACTGGCGATGCGGGGGTCGAGTGTGATTCTAAATGCCGTAATAGATGAAAACCGTCTTCGCGGATCTATAAGGTTAACTTGATCGAAACGGAAACTGAAGCCCGATCTCATTTCAGCACACTCTGCAACGATGGACGTGATGTGACTCTACGTAACTCTATCGTTCTAATCCCCCGAGCAACGAAAATCGTGGGTTTATATACCCCTAAATGTTGGTGGGGATCCGTCGGTGATTTCCATATTTAGAAATCTGACGGTTAGGATTTTCGTGGCTCTGAGGTGAGCAGGTGCGTTCCCTGGGAAAGGGTAGATAAAAAGTCTTCCCACGCAACGCAAGTCGAAGATGATGTTAAGAGTATGCAGCTGCAGGATGCACTCCAAGGAGACCGAGCCCCAAATTCCAGGAGGGTAGATAAAATAAAATTGAAGAATGCGAGCTTCGGAGACAAACAGCGAGTTTCTGTATACGTAACAAAATAATCAGTTATTAGGCGCCTGTTTGTCGTTTTACAAACCCATCACCTTCGTGTGGATGCAGGTATTGCCGTATAGCCGAGGTACTGTCCTATGGAACGCTATGCCAGACAATAAATGTCTACGTGAAAGTACTGTCTGAGTAGATTTGGAATAGTTTTTGGTGGAGGCGCCGATGGAGAAAAGTGTTAATGTATATGATGTCTAAGTAATTTTAATTTTGCGCCGACTACGAAAAGATTATTTAACATAATTTAATATAAAGGAAATAGAAATGTAATATATTATTGAATATCATTTAATATAAATGAAATAGAAATTATTTCATACTTTTTAGTGCAATTTTAATATTTTGTCGAAGTCGGTTATATTTTTTTCCAAAAGTTATTTCATTTCACTCTTTTTAGTGGCAATCTATAACCAATAGGTTTCATGCAATAACAATAGTTATGAGCAATATACAGGATGACCCAAAAACGTTGGAGGTCCTTGAAAGGGGTGGTTCCAGAGCGAATGGGGTGGTGATTTGAAACAATTTTTCCTTAGCGAAAATGGTGTTCGAGGCTTCGTTAAGGGGATATTCCAGAAACAGAAACTCACAACCAATCAGAGCGCGAGTATGCCGTGTAGCGCTCCTCCGGCATACTCGCGCTCTGATTGGTCGTGAGTTTCTGTTTCTGGAATATTCCCTTAACGAAGCCTCGAACACCATTTTCGTTATGAAAAAATTGTTTCAAATCACTCCCCGAAACACCCCATTCAAGGACATCCAACATTTTTGGAACACCCTGTATAGTTGCAAATGAGATTATCAAGAATGCTGGAAGGTTATACCAATATCGAATTAATCGGGATCGGAATCGGAATTAATTAATGAACCAAAAAACAAAAATAAGAATTTTGCAATAACAATAATAATAAACAATATTAAAAAAATAGGAATTTTGCAATAACAATAGTTATAAACAAAAAGAAAAATCATTTTTGCAAAGTGATCACCTCGAAAGCGAGTCCGGCAGCAAAATTTAAAGGGTTTCATCGATTTCATCGAATTCAGGCCGAACATACGTGAAACAGTACAATTTTCGATAAAAAGTCCAATAAAACGGTAAAAAATGGAAGTAGGTCAAATGTGTTTTTAAGCTTTTAAGAGGCAACGAAGCCCTGACCAAATGCAAGAAGATTCAATCCGATTTTTCAGTTCGTTTCGGAATAAGAAGCAATACAAAATTTTTCAGTTTTCTGTAAAAAAAAAACGGATAAAAAGTGTGAAATTCCAAAATTTTTTGACAATGGGATCACCCCCGAGACCATGGTCTACAAGATGCAAGAAGTTTCATCCCGATTGGTCAAGCCGTCTGGACGTAATCGAGTAACATACATAAAAAATATATATATATGACAATTATATATATGACACATGTCAAATTGAGTAACCTCCTCCTTTTCGAAGTCGGTTAAAAATTGTAGTTTATTAATTTCTTTTTTTATAATCAATGATATTCTACATATTCTCGAAAATCTATAGAATAAATATAGTCCAAACAGTTATTAGTTTATATAATTTGCGAAATTAACAAGAAAATACGAAAAATTGGTAAAAATATAGAAGCAATAAATACTCGTACGATTTTTATAACGAATCATTGACAGTAGAATTTGTAACATAAACACACCAGTTTATAGCTTCGTCAGAATTAAAAACATCAAAATTACAGTAAAGAAGTCTTAAAAAATTTTGTAATACAAGAGTGGAAGAAGATCCCATCCTGAATAACATGAAATTTAGTTAATTTACCTAATGCTTAGAAGAGTTGCAGGAATTATAAAATCAAAATCAAATCCCACGAAGTATTAATTATTTATAAATTAATGTAAATTTCATGTTTTTTTTT